AAGGGGGGGGGGGAGTGAGGAGACAAGCTGCTTCGTCAGGTTGCATGGGGGGAGGGGCTGACCAATCACGGTTGGGTGTGGGGTGGGAATCCCTCCACTATGTCAGCTCCACCAGAGAAAATCACCCCCCATCTCTCCTTGCCCGGGGCAAACAGGACTAGCCCCGCTTGCCTGGACGGCCCCCTGCCCATCCTTCCACAGAGACTCAGCTTTACTTTTTCTTAAGGACGATTCTAGCACTATGATGGCGAAGAAAAGCTTCACAACGTGCCTGGAGAAGAGCCAGCCTCTGCCGGAGTGTGCGGAGAGCAAACGCCAATTGCCGTGGGAGGTGTGAACGACAGTGGAACTGGGACAGCGCGCAGGCGTACAGAGATCTCGAGACTTCAGCTTTGTGCGGGATCTTTATTGCAAGCGCTCCCACATCCCACTCTCTAGCTACAAACACATATTCTCTGCCTAGCCAGTAAAAGGGAGTTAACAACCGAGTCACCCCGCTCCGACCTTCCCGGTATTCCTGTACAGGCCTACCCTTAAAACCCCTCTCTCCTCGCTGGCCAAGCCCAAGAGGAAGGGAGGTCAGAAGGGTTGCAGCCTCACTTTCCAAACACATTACATTTACCAGTCACTGTTTGTTTTTCTGTTAAAAAGACAGATCTGTAGCCATTAAAAATAAAGAGAAAGAGACGATAATTTATCTCAGGAGAAATTCTTTGCTTTTTCAGCACCAGAAGCGGTAGGCTTCTGCCATCCTGTGGTGCGAAGTTCCCCAAGTGAAGGTCGGGGACTCAGCACTTCCCGGGAGGGCAGCGACCTGGCATAAAGAGAAGCATGAGGTCAGAGCTTCAAGAGAGCAGCACATCTTCAAGGGTGAGTGGAGACTAGTGCATCCACCCACACATGCGGGGATAGAGAGCTATTCCTTCCCAGAGCCCCTGCCTTCTCTTTCTCTAGATAACAGGGCATTGATTCTATATGGGATATACCATCATCCGTCTTACCTGGGCTGCGTTCCTCCTTACCCAAATACTGTACTCTTCCTGAAGTTCACCCTGCTGTGACATTTGCAGCCACTGCCCATGTCAAGCCCTTAGCCAAATTGCAGAGATTTGGCTCCTTTAGCTTGTGTCCTCCCCCAAGATAATCCCCTCCAAGAGTCATAGCTCTTCCCTGTTTCCAAGATTCACCCCCCACCAACACACATGCCTTCCCCAATTCTTACCTCTGTATCCATTCCCCAGAAAGCCGTTCAGCCCATACTTGGCCTCCTTGCTTCCTAGAAGCGGGTGGGAGCAGATGAAAATTGGTCACTGGCCATCCCCGTCTGCTACCCAAAGGAGAATGACTCTCTCTGGACAGCAGGGGAAGGCACAGGACACGCATGCAAGAGCAGTTTTGGTTGCATCACAAGACAATAGGATAAAATGTTGCGTCTCTCCCCCACTCCCCCCCACACACACTCCTACCATATGCTGCTGGGGAGAGTCCATAGCCTCCAGGAGCCTGCCCTGCTGTGAGTGGCCCGTATCCCCCTGCAACAGCGACAAGAGTTATCAGGAGGGGTGGAGTGGAGTGGGGCAGGAGCAATGGCTGTGGGGGGAGCTCCCAGCTCCCTCAGTCCCAGAAGCAAATGGTGCAGGGTGGGGATCTTACCAGCAGCCAGTCCGTTAGCCTGCAGATCCCCTCCGTTTGCATGTCCCAGTCCATTCCCGTTGCCTGCTGGGGGAGGGGGCAGGAAATTAGCACAGGAAGGGGCTTTGAGCCCCTGGGGATGAGTATACATGTGTCCAGAGGCAAGGGGGGACCCATGTGACTGGACAGCCCCTCACCATCTCTTACCATCCAGGGAACTGGGCCCAGCCTGTTGTGCCCTGTACATTAGTTGCCCTGCACCACCTGGAGGAGGAAACATGGTAGTGTTGGTGAGTGGAGATCTCAGCACAGGGACAGGAGATTGCACTGCCTACGGGCAGGGCGGGACGGTATGCTGGGAACCAAGGGAGCTGTCACTGCGGGAGGCTCCAGGATCTACTGGTAGATCCCAATCTACTGGTTGGTGACCACTGGTTTAGGCAAAGCAGGGTTGGCAAGGGGCATCCCAGCCCCCCGCCCACATCCCTGCACAGGGTGGGGGTGGGACGAAGATACTGGGCGGCATGGCACAGATTGCTGTGCACCGAGGCATGTGTGGATGTGCACTACCAATAGAAACACATGTAGGCGGCTGTGGGCACTCTGCCAGTCAGCTGGGCAGCATTTCAATGTTTTCTAGGAGGCCACCCAAGAGCACAGCTTACTGGGGACACTGCTGCTGCACCTGAAATAAATCTTCTGGGGGGGGGTGTCTGCCCTTCACACTTCCCTCTATAGCAACTCTATGGACAAGTTCACCCACCGTAGGAGCCCAGAGCCCTTACTCACACCTACCTCATTTCCCAGCACCATAGTCTCCCCCCAGACCAATGGGCATGGTCTCTTGGAACTGCCCATGGTCTGGGAGCTGGCCCAGGCCTACAGCATGGACAGGGTGTCAGGATGGGGGGCACACTCCTTTGCCCCTCCCTCAGCCAGCCAGTCCCCCGTACTGGGTTTGGATTGGAGCACAAGGCCCTGTGTCCCGTTTCCTACTTCCCAGAGCTAAGCAATTCCTGGCTCTGCGGTCAGAAGGACTCACCATATTTAGCAGCTGAGAGATCTGTGCTAAGGCTGGCAAAATGCCCTAAGTAGGTAGCCTGGGCACCTGGGGATGGAATAGATTAAGGCAGTTAGCTTGGCTTGTGCACCTCTGTTCCAACCCACAGCCCTGGATTCCCCCCACAGCTCGGCCAGAACCCCTCATTCCTGCCCTGCAGCCCCCTGCCAGCCCAGCCCTGCCCCGCCCCTCGCTCTCCTCCCTCTGTCACTGGGCACACCGTTGCCATATCCTGACTGGAGTCCGGCCCCAGGGTGACTGTTCCCTCCTGCACCGTAGCCTAGAAGAGAGATGGGAGATCAGACAGGCTCAGCCTGGATGTGGAGGGGGGGCGGGAAGTGAGGTACAATTTGTGGTCCTCTTACCATTCCTGTATCCTGGCTGTGCCCCATTGGCCAGGTATCCACCGCCTACTCCAGCGATTCCTACAGAGCAAAGAGAATCCAGATTGGGGTGCACTGCTCCAGCCCTGGCCTCTCCCAGTAAGGGGTGCTGTGGGGGGTGCCGTGGGGAGCAGGGTAAAAGTGCTAGCAGCGGGGGGGGGGAGCCCCTTCTACTCCAGCTCTGGCTCTCTCAGCAGGGGGTGCTGTGCTTAGCTCATGCCCCTTACCTTGTTGAGCTGTGGGGTAGCTGCCAACTCTGGGTCCTGCCCCATAACCTGTGGGGGGGAGATCCCAGAATGAGACCAACCTAGAGCACAGAAGAATCTGGCTTCTGCACTGTGGGCTCTGGCACTGGAGGCTGGAAGCATCGGGGCGGGGGGTGGAGAGGGAGGGGGCTAGCAGTGAGGGGGATGGTTAGCAGGGGGCTGTGGGTTTTGGAGGCAAGGATAGATAAATCTCTTTCAAACCCTTCAGGCTGCTCGGCAGGTGAGCTCCTCTCTGCCCAGGGAGGGGAGGGGGCATGGCAGTTGGGCTCACCTCAGGGTGCCAGTGGTGTGAGCAGTAGGGATCTCTAGACAGAAGGAGAAGAAACAGCTGGCGGGAGCGGGGGAAGAGGACAGCCTGCGGGGCACGTGAAGGGTGGAGACACTGGGGCAAAGGACAGAGATGGGGCCTGCACGGGGTATTACCAGCACTGGGGCCTTTGCCACCCCCCAAGGCCTGTGGGAGAGGAAACGCAGAGGCGTCAGCGTGCGTGGGAGGGGTGTAGTGCAGGGCGGGCCAGAGGGGTATGAATAGGGCAGTGGAGTCCAACTCACCTCCCAGGGGCAGTGCAGCCTGGAAGTACCCTGGAAAGATACACAG